GGTGACGGGTAACTCAATCCCTATGTTCCACTAGGAAGCAAAGAACAAATCTTAATGATGAATAAACTCATCAGACAAATACAATACTGGGTGAAGTTCATTACTGCTTATAATTTCAGCATATCTGAGTCATTTCACTGATTGAATTATTTTGCATCAGTTGAAAGTAACTATAGATGGACCTAGATATTCTTGAATTACTCGCATTATTAGGTAATAGTATCTTCTGATAGTTTATGACACTTTTATATCACGGAATACACCTTCTGAACTTTACTGAATAGTGTTCATTTGAAAACCTATTGACACCGCAGCTGAAAAGTAGAAAAACCAATTAGCTGTGAGAAGTGTCAACATAGATCATGTTACTTGTAAATCATTTGCAAATCGACTATCGTATTTTAGTTATACTGGTCCATTTTACTCAGCTAGCCATATAGATTTGGATGATCAGAAATATTTCGGTTGTGTTAGGTGAATCTGTCTCAGTGAACTATCGATGAACTGTTTTGGTTCCGAGCGAGTAAAACGGCTGTCCTGCAGCCAGGTTCAAAAGTTTGCAGAGAACAGAGTACATTGGAGACGTGCTAATGAAGCCATATGTTCCACTAGGAATCCAAGGGACAAATAATAATAATAATAATGTTTAGGACACTATGGTTTGACTGGCAAAATATACAGATCAACCTGATTGGTATCTAACTACTGAAATTATCATTTAGTAGTATATTACCGTAACTTTCAATTAAAAGTCAAATTTAACCTTACCTATTATCTACATTTTTATAATGGTCAAATTAGTTAATGAATTTAAAATTGATCTATTCTGCATAATCTACTATCCATGAATTAAAAATAACTAAAGAATTTATTTCGAAGTAGAATTTATATTCACATCATTGTCGTTCAACATTCAATCATTTTTACACAAGGTCATTGGAATCCATGATTTATTTTAGTTATTCATTTAATTACTTTCTAATTAATTGTTATGTGAGGCGTTTTTATCGTGATGACTAACATTTTTTTCATTCACATTATTCCCATAAGAATATCTATTTAGTTAGAGAATTATTTTAATTTGTTTCTATTCACTTTCGTTTCAGTTACAGGTTATTTGAGGCAATTCATTCTAAATTTGGAATATGTATATCTGTAAAAAGATAGTTCATTAGGTGGTAGAAATGTTAGCTAACTTATTATTTGATTTGAAGCTAACTGTTTGAGAATGTCATAAAATCTAGACAGGCTATACTTGATGTTAGGTATATTCAACGTTATACGACTTGATTAACCTGCATTTTACCTGCATACAATATTCTCCACTAGTTAATACAAACATTGAAGATAATCACCAAATAATATTAAAGTAATAGTTAGGTAGAAATAACCAGCTTCTTAAAATCCCTGACCGCTTATCTTAATTTTATTCAGCACACCAGGAGGATGATTTACTTTCACAATCTGACATAATGAGTAGTCAAATAAATGTTCATTTCAATAGATTAATCTATCCCTTCTTCAGCATACTTAACAAGTAAGTTGAAAGTAATCAAACATCGTAACCAATTTGATCAACAGATCTATGAACTTAATTCAATAGATATTATTTATGGATCATTTAACATCCCACATCTGTTAAAATTTTTGTGATATCCTGAAAGTATGACCAATAATAATCATTCAAAAGTTGACATTAAACACAAAATATCTGCACTCACTGCACTACTTTGCACTCCTCTCCTCTTCACCCCACTCCACTCCACTCCACTCAGCATAAAGCCTGAACAACATCCGGATTTTCAACACCAATCTCAGTCAAGTAAGTTAGTGCTTCTGTGTGATGGTTGAGAGACTCGGCGGCGCGTAATGTGAAGCATTTCCAACAAACTGCAGACACGCATCATCTACAGCCGATGCCTTCACTCACTGGATACTGAAGATGAAATCAGATGGCCAGAATAATAATAATAATAATATTGAGGAGTAAATGACTGTGGCTGGCGGCGAATCAACCAAGAAGCTATCGCGAAACAAATATGAAGATGAAGAAAGTGGAGATGGATTGTATTGTATCGGATTGGACATACACTGAGGAGATAATTTGGGACATAATGTACCAGGTGCAGTCAGGTGAGGTGAGGTCAGACCAGGCCGGTCCAGCCCTCACCGTCGAGTGGAATGCAAATGGGAAACGACTAGTTGGGCATGTGAGTGGAGGGTGATCTTGAGGAGATTGTATGAAGGATAAATGAAAGGTTGTGGGCAGTTGTGGAGGCATGTTTTGAAGACTGTAGATAAGAGAATGAAGTGGCGACGGGTAACTCAATCCCTATGTCTCACTGGGAACCTGAATGAACAATAATTATATTAATAATTCTGAATTATATTAAGTGCTTATTAAGTTGAAGGAAACGTTTTTCTAGTGAACTGTCTGGAACGACCCTTATGACTAACCTCTTGTTTTTTGTTGGCTTTATTTGCCTAAACTTTTATAGGTCAAGCTGCTTGCCAATCTGACTATTAAATAACGATCGCCTGACCAATTTATGAAATACATAAGTCGAAATATTTGGTCGGAGTTAGTTAATCACTCGCTTTATACCCTTTGCTAAATGAGAATTGATAGACCTTATGAAAATAAGGTGTCTGGGGAAAATCTTGGCGTCAACTCTGTATGCGATCACACCCGGTCACACAGTGTCTGACGGAGTTACAATCCTGAGAACTAACTTAGTGTGACGGAGAGAGGGGAAGTAGCATCCAAATTTTTATGTGTCGAATCACCAGAAATGTATAAGCTCTTGTTATACATATAGGAAAATTGTCACTGTCCAAAGGAAGGGAGAGAATCGGAACCATGTAAACCTCACCCTAAATTTTTGGAATTACCTTGGCAGAACTATGAACAGTAAATTGTGTCGGAAATTTAATCCAGTAAATAATGCTGTTTCGCTGTAGAAAATATCTAACATATTAGGTGAAATGGGATCAAACGGTGACGTAATGACCTTATTTTGTTTATCCGCTATCCTATATAACCTCGCTTGGTTAACTAGTTTACTAGTTACTAGCTGGTCCTAAGCCCCGGGTAAAGAGGGAAGGGTGGGCATAGGACTAGCAACCCTACCCCGTAAAACAAATCTAACCGCTAAAGAAACTTTGAAGCATAAACAACAACAGCAACAACAAGCTCCAATCACCATCAGCTGGAGAAACTTAAAGGAAGTAGCCTCTTTCGACTGTCTAGGCAGCATCGTTTCAACTACAGGCGGCACAGACGAGGACGTCAAAGCAGCCACGATCGGGAAGACAGCAAGATAGGCGTTCATCAACCTGAAACTAGTGTGCAGATCTACTACACTCAGCCTGCAATAAGCGTGAACAACATACATATTTTCAACACCAACACCAGTCAAGTCAGTGCTTCCGTATGGCTCAGAGACCTAGCGCATTACGAAAAACATTTCCAACAAACTATGCACATTCATCAACGACTGCCACCTGCGCTGGATCGTTACTGACACTGAAGATGGATGAGATGTTCAGAATACTAAGTATAAGCAACAAGGAACTCTGCCCTGGTGACGAAATAACCAGGAAGCTGTCGCTGAACAAATATGCATTGGAAGGAAGTGAAGATGGACAGGACTGGGCATGTACTGAGAAGGCGGAGTGGGGACATCACGCGCCATGTCGGGCCGTTGGGTGGATGCAGATGTGAAAAGACGAGTAGGATGTCTGAGATGAGGGTGACATGGAGGAGATGGTGCGAGCAGATAAATGAGAGGTTGTGGGCAGTCGTAGAACCAGGTTTTGAAGATTTCAGAGAGTAGAGTGGAGTGGAGTGGAGTGGAGACGTGCTACTGAAGCGGTATGTTTCATTAGGAACCCAGGGCACAAGTAAAAATAAGAATGTTATCCTATATTATCATATTTTGCACCTGAGGATCCCATGAATACCCAGTACACCATTATACTTAGTAGCCTTTGGAGGGTAACCAATTTCATGCTTTCTGGTCCTAAGTGCTGAACATATACCGTTGTGTTTATCTAGCTGAAATGTTAAGTTGGGTGAGTGCAGCACTGTGGGTTCGAATTTCTCAGTGAACATCATTTCCCTGGAGACTGGTGACTAATACCGGCAGGCAAGACACTGTTCTCCAGAGTTGCCTGTCGACTACAAATTGATAACCCTATTCTACTTATAAGAGTCCATGCAATTCAGCTACCTACATTCAGGTGATTTAAAATAATTCGGCTTTGTGAACTGATGTCTGAGAGTACACAGCCGATGAGGTCAGCTTCAAAATAGTCAAACAGTCGTCCATCTGATTCAGGGCCTGGGTTGGATGTCTGTTGATGTGGGTCATGGATGCTCATACTAGGATACAATAGCTGTTCAATGCTATCAGGTTCCCAGTGGGTTCTTAAGCTGATGTCAGTTCATGTTGGATTTCAACTTAAAATCAGTAAATCGATCTCCTCAAACCTCCAAACCGAAGAATTTAAAACTAGAAAACTACAACTCATTTTGTGTATGCCTTCATAGTTATGACTACCATTTATAGAAAGGCTGTCACTGATGATATATATATATATATATATATATATATATATATATATATATATGACCAAAAAGTTTCTATTCTGTTTCTGTTTCTCTCTTTGTATGTATATGTGAACTCTACAAACCATTTTGTATAACACATGAAATCATGGAGGAACGGATTGCTGTAGGCACAAATGAATGTATGTTGTTATCTAGCTTCAAATTTCGAAGCCTTTCTCTAGAACAGTTATTCATTTAGAAAGAATACAATGTACAATTTCTCTGTTTGTTCGCTTCAGTTGTTGTCTACACGTGTGTGTGTGTATTCGGTAGTGTAGCGCAGTATTTTCATTTGCCCACCAAATAGGGATTTATTTTTCCTGTCGTGTTAACCTTTGGCTCTTTCTGTCTCTCCCTCTCTTGTAGGCATAAACACACATTGTCTTTTCGATAGGACACATCATTTTTACCACTGAAAAGCGTCACATTAAGTAATCATGTTCACAATGACATCAGTTGTTGTTGTTGTTGTGCTAAAAGTGATTTTCTTCTGAGAATATTGGGGAAAAGTGAATAGGTACACAACATTGTGTTGAATAAAAATCATCATATTGGACTTTAAAATGCTTTTTTATTGCTCTTGTGGTTCATCTTTTATATAACGAAAAGACAATAACTAAAATGAACCATATCAAGGAAAGCCTATGCAGATGAATTTTTCACCGATAATGTTTTACGTTGTATTTAGTTTATATTTGCAAATAAGTCGATGAGGAAACGTAATAATTTCATAGTGGTCATAAAGATTTTCATCGTGTTTGCTTAACACTAAAGATTGGAAACTTCTTGGTGTTACAAAGCATAGTAAGTTGAATGTTTATACGTTAGTTTCTTACAGTTACTTTATAATCTTGGTCTACTGAATGTAATTACTATTTATTAATATATTTGTTGTGATTCTACATTATTATACTGGATCGAATTGTTCGACCTCTGACAGCATATGGAATTCTATACAGATACTTTAATATTGCCTACTATACTGATACACAATGTAATTTAAAAGCTTTATTCATATTCATCTCTCATATCAAAAGGTGTCAGATCGTAGTTAGTCTAGGTCCTGATAACATACATTAGACAACTGATCCTTTTTAACATAACCAAGAGTTATTATGTAGGTTTTATTTTATATAAGAGTGACATACTGTGAAACGTCTTATAAAACACAAACTTGGTCAATGTTGGGTGATTTTTCAACTATAAAAACACAGTAACTGGCAATTAAGATATATATCTTTAGACTTCATTGAAATTATATGCATTCGTATGTGGTATTATATATAAACATATCCGTTGGAGAACTATTAAAAACCTGGGAGCAGTGAACACCTGTTTCATCGGTGTGTAAGACTCCTCAGTTGTAGGGATTCATGACTCTATAAGGGACCAAACTCAGAATTTTCGGGTTCCTTAGAGTTCAGCGAGTTACAGTTTCTTATTTCTGCGCTATATACTACCTTAAGAACTAAAATCCTTATAAACTGCAAACTACATGTTGGGATGTAAGTCAATTAACATTTGTACTGGGTGATGATTTAAGGTGAGATGAAAATTTGGACGGCGTCCGGATTCGAATCAGTGACCGTCTCATCTTCAATCACTACCCAGTACAAATACTAGTCTGCTAAACTACGGCTATCTTAGATAGTCAAATCATAATCAATTAAGATTACTAGATACTGATAGATGATGTTATCATTTCTCTCTCAGGAAATATAAATTGCACTCTAACAGAAATTTGTTGTCTCACCTACTTCTGCTTTGTTGCTAAGCAATTTACGAAAAAAAACAAAGACTTTCACTTTACTTATCTTGTCGTATTCATTTTATGTACATTCGAAAAAATTTGTATTATGTAATCAGCTAATCCAAATTAATATTGTACTGAATTCTAATACTCTGGATCAATCATAAGATAGTTGACAGTATTCTACACTTAATTTGACATGCTCAATTCATATTACTTTCGATAATGTTTAAGTCCTCATTTACATAAATTGTTACCTTTAGAGTTGGTATGCAATGCCTACACTTTGAGCAGTTAGATTTTGCAATATCTAAGGAAAAATGTTTCCAGTATTTTAACGCTTTTGACACCAAGTATTCAAGCAAAATAGCTTTGAACCTGAACACTGAAATTTAATGAAATTTAGGTAGTGAAGTAGATTTTACATGCTATATGGGCGAGAATTCGGTAAGTTTGAACAAATTGAAGTTACAGTGTAAATCGTTCCTATATAATCTTCGAATACTTATAGTTTGCTTTTAGACTTCGAATACACATATATTATGCCTACATGGCGGGAAACTAATAGATTGACATAGATACGAACGAGTTACAGTTTACTTTTTTTTTCTAGTCTGTCTAGTAGACAGTTTTTGGAGGTTTTATCGATTAAGATGAATGTTACGATATACATAACATACTTGACACCAGTGTAAATCTCATCCTACATTCAAAAAAGTACATAATTTCTTCTCAAATTCAGAAAATGTATAGTGCCTAATTACTTGTTTCTTTTCTTCACTGTTTAAAAAAATGCGGTCACTTGTAGTGTGTATTTACAACAAATGCTGCACAATATCCAACAGGCACTAGATGAGATACTGGACAGCTTACCCTATTTGAATATTTTTTTATGGACTCACCATCTAACTGGTGAAGAGAACATTTCTAGCCTAAAATGGATTCCAAAAAGTTGTGAATTTAGTTTATCTTGATAGGAAACATAAAACATTACATATCAGAGACTTTACTGTATAACATTCTGTATTAAAGTCTTTTAGACGTTTTAATGGGCAAATATACAGCGTGAAAGACACTATCCAGTTTGCAAACAGCATTAGAAACATGAATGACTCTATACATTTTTTTGGATGTGTTAATGACAAGAAAAGAAGATAGCTCTATACTGAGAAGTATATACAGAAAATCAACATCTAAGGCACAGTAACACTTTATATCCGCAATATTCCGAGCGAAAACGGATATCCCGACAAGTTTATCAAGGCTAACGTCAACTACATTGGTCGTAAACAATAGGTAATGATAGTGGAGAAGCCCTTGTTTCTACGCTTAAATTTCAAGAGACATTCAGTCACAACGCTCACATAGAACAGATAATAGGGCGTTTTATGCAAGTCGGCTTTGTGTACCACTCAATAGTCAGCCAATTCTCAGTCCGAGACTAGAGAATCGGATGTACCACTAGGCAGGTACTTTGCCAGATACGAGAGCATTTACGAGCTTGATCAAGAAACGCGGAGGTGAAAGTGGTTAAAAGTTCAGTCCTAGCGCACCTAGCAGACACGCAGCGCACCACACAGATGCCAATAAAGCTTTTGGTGTCATTCATCATATTCCAAAGCGATGCAACATGTAGCTCTCCAAAGACTTCTTAAGATATAAGAGACTTATCGAACCGAAATCTGCATTCAGAAAGAGGATGTTTAAGTGTTACTTCCTCCTTGGCCTTCAGTAAATTCAAGACTACTTCTGACCTTTTTATTCGTTATCTTTTTGTTCACTATCGTATCACTCATCTGCATATATATCATCCTAATTTTGACAAATTTATAAAGAACAGTCGATATCCTTACAAGCCTCAGTTTTCACTCCGTTTTGAAAGTGTATCTACCCTTAGCGTGGCTTTATTTCAGGCTGTACAAACGCATTTTATAGTTGTAGAACCTGAAGAGGACTTATTGACAAAATACTCTTCGTTTAAATCAACATTTAACATGTGTAATAGGAATATAACACCACATACTGTAGATCTTTGAAAAAGTGTATCATCCTTACCCCTGAAGAATAAAGTTGTTGGATGATAGAAGTGTAGTCTGAAAGTTGTTTAAGTACTTTGATACGATTGTAGTGTATATAACTATATACTTTATCAAATAAACAGTTTTATATATTTCAGAAGGTGTGTAGAATTTCCTAAGATAAAGTTATTTGCAGTTGATATTGATAATACAGTTCATTGAAGAATATCAGTTATTTGAGACGAGTAACCTTTCTCTTCTCTTCAAAATTTATCTCAATAAAGACATCAGATGAATGATATTTCAACTTTCCAAAGCTGTAAATGGTATGAAGTGCACAGAACACCAAGAACTAAGTATTACAGCATAAACACTTTTCTACGAAATCCGTTTTTATCAGATTCAATGTACGGACTGTGATTTAGGAAACGCAACTTAAAAGTTACCTTAATAATACGTGCGTACATTTAGATTCAACTGTGAAATAAAATGTTCACATCCAACGGTTAACTGGTAGCGTCTTCGTAGTTGTCTTGGGGCATGAAAATTAGCAGGATAATAGATACTAACTGTGCATGTTCTGAGTTCGAACAGTTTCCTCATCTTTTTTTCTATGACCTTTCTTGAACTTGTGTTTCAGTGTTATTTTCAGTTGATCATCCTTGTAAACTTTGATCTCCTGGTTTCTTTTTGTTTGGTACTAATAATCTCCTGTTGCTATATTAGGTCAAACTGCTCGACCTCTACTGGCAGACATGTGTTTCGCCGTGTTATATTAGTGCCCTGTATGTTGAAGATAACTGAAATACAAAGACATGAAAACTCTTCTTGATAACTGATACACCTAAAAACAAACATGTGTGAAATATGATAAAAACTGACGTAATCATTGCAAGAATATGATTTTACATGGAAAAAGTGAAAATTTAGAAAACAACCTGCTCAAAGTAACTTTTTAATGAAGTCTTAATCTGTCTTATTATGAATCAGTTTGGTTGGCTGAAATTAGCGAATGGTGTTAATTCAAAAACTGTTTTTAAATAATCCTCCTTCCAAGGGTTTCAATGCTTAACTTTGATCAAAATAAAACATATTTGCATTCTGAGGATCTGTAGATCGTTGATTTAGGGATTTGACTTTCAAACAGTTCATCACGGATTCGGTCACCATTCCTGACTTCTGAGGTTTACGCAACTAAGTAGTATGACTCATCACCTATTGCATGGACATACATTAGATTACTGAGTGAATTTCCTTTCCTTCATTCGTAATATATTTCTCTTTATATGACTGTATTACTGTTTAGGATATCTACTATTGTATCTTTTGATAGAAAGTGGTTAGTAGTGGTATTGAAAACAGGTGTTCACTTTGCTTACGATTCATCAGCTGCATATACCTACTACATGGCTCTGAAGGTATTAATTAGTGAGTTGCTGCCTGATGGGCTACTGAGGCATGATATCCACCCGTTTTTGTAAGGTATATAGTTTGGTTTTATAGTGAAAGTAGAAATTTCGATTTCCACTTGATGACTTTAATGAATAAATCGTTATAGGAAGTGCTTGAATACACTTCAGAATACAGTGAGGAATTAAAAATACACATCAGTATACTCACTAGTTAAACATACCAAAAGTAATACAGGTTTCTTTTTCCCTATAAATACTAATGTTAGTGGGTTGTAGTACAAATATAATAAAAATGTCCTATATGTGTTATATCTTGACTTGAATGTAATTTGAAATTCCTTTGTCCATTTTATAGTTCTTAGTATTGACATAATTGTAGTTATTTATCAGGCAACTAATCTTTACTGATACAGGCAAAGTAAATGTCATTTTGATGATGCATAAAATAAATATCTAATTTAGAAGTAGTATTCATCAGGGACTCACATCATTTGGGGAATCATTTAAAATCTAGGAGCATAGGACAGCTGTTTCATCCTAGTATAGGAATCCTCAGTTGTACGCACACACGACCCCGCTACACGTCGAACTCAGCACCTTCACATTTCACGGCCAATGCGTTAA